CTCCAATTTGGTGACAGTGGTGCGACTGTGGTCCCCAGTCTAGTCCTCTGCCAGGCGTCTCCTACGTCCAGATACGACTGTTCCGTTTCCGGACACCTGCCCTGAGCCTGCCGCCCCTCGGGCACTCACAGCCACCGAGACTGCTCCAGACGCCCTTAGAACAGTGTTTAAACTTCTCGTTGTCTCTCCCGCGTGTGCTGGCGCGTGACCTTTAGAATTCATCAGTGTGCATTTCTGTGAGAGTAACTGCATAAAAGCTCCTGAGTTAGGGGGCGCATGCTGCCTTCTGTGGCCAGGGGTGAGACTGTGTTGTCAGGTGACCTCTGGGGTGGGAAGGGGCTGTCTGGTGGTGAGTAAAGGAGCAAGAAGAGACAGTTCGCGTGGCAGATCATAAGAATCAGACTAAGAGGCGGTTTGTATGTGGAACATTGTTCTCTGGTCTCCAATTAGAAAGCGTCCACCGTGCCAGATGCTGTTTGAGGTGCTAGGATAAACACCAATTAAAATTTTAAAATAGTAATAGATCATTAGTGGGAAGAAGGGCAACTTCAAGAAGATTAATATATATGTACTTGGAAACAAACATAAATCTGGGTCTACACAAAGGGATGAGGAGATCAGGGAGGGTAAACATGTAAGACTTTTTTATTATTAAAATCTCACCAAAAGATTAACCATGTAAACATAAATAAAGCAATGTAGTTAAGTTTGTATAGGTGTGTAAATGTACTTATGACATATATGTGCATGTATACATGTATATTTCATATAAGCCATATGACAAACTGTACAAGCAGTGAGAAGTGAATGAAAATACTATACAGTTCCTACAGTGTGTGAATATGATATGACTTGAATGAAATCAGTGATAGGTGAAAGATGAACCCTCTAGGCCCTAAAACAACCACTAAATGAACAAAACTGAGATATAGCTGACAACTATATCAGCTAAAGAAGTAAAAGGAATCAAAAAATACTCAACCCAAAGAAGTGAGAGAAAGGTGAAGGGAATGAATGAATAATAAATGGGAAACAAATTGTAGGATGGAAATTTAATATTAATACTCAGATTAACTATATATAAACTGAGCATCCCACTTAAGAGGCACCATCAGGCCAGATCTTTTTAAAAAGCACAATCCAATCATATGCTGCTTATGAGAAATTCACTATGACATCTGGTTATAAATACAAGGGTACACAAAAAGATACATAGTGATGGGCCCTCCCTGGTGGCACAGTGGGTTAAAGCACAGCTCTGTAATGGTATCTATACCCACTGCAGCACTAGTTTGATCCCTGGCCAGGGAGCTGACCCACAGGGTGCAGCAGACCGGCCCGCTGCTCCCCTAATCAGTGTGTTTCAGTACATCTGCCTGTTCTGCTCCCCACTCTGTCTCTAGTGAATCTTTCCCCCCCACCCCCACACCTTTGGCCTGTACCCAGTTCTTGTATGCACAAACAAATAAATAAATCTTAAAAAAAAAAGTAAAAACCTATACCAGCAAAACCACAATTTCTCCTCTAGTTACCGCCAATTCTCTCTCTCCCTTACATTTTTTGGCCTCCCTGAGGGCCCAGGGGGTAAGTCTCAGTGTTAACACTGCCCCTGCCTAGGTTCGATTCCCAGCCAGGGAGCTGACCCACATGGTGCAGAGACCTCTCCTGTCTTGCGGGCTGCTCCCCTAATCAGTGTGTTTCAGTACATCTGCCTGTTCTGCTCCCCACTCTGTCTCTAGTGAATCTTTCCCCCCCACCCCCACACCTTTGGCCTGTACCCAGTTCTTGTATGCACAAATAAATAAATCTTAAAAAAAAAAAGTAAAAACCTATACCAGCAAAGAACAATAACAACCTTCTACTTTAAAAAGCTAGGAGAGGGAGAAAAAAAAAAGCTAGAAGAGTGAATTAAACATAATGTAAGTTTAGATCAGAAATCAATGTAACAGACTAAACAAGAAAAATTAATGAAACCAAAAGCTAATATTTGAAGATTAGCAAAAATTATAGGATTCTAACCAGACTGATCACATGAGACAAATAAGCAAAAGAAAATGTTCTGTATAGTGTGTAATTGGGAGTCTCAGGCACAGATTTATACTCTGAAACAGTGCCTATTATCATCCACATTGAAAGCAAAGCTGTTCTAGTTTAGTTCATCCCCTATGGAGAGGACATAGTTCTTTTGACTCTGACTAGCTTCACGATAAATTTACGACTAAGAAACCTCTCCCATACTTTCCAGGAGCACAAGTTCCCAGTATTTAGCATCCTGCAACTGCTACATTTCGTTCTCTTGCTAACATAACATAGCACAGAAGGCTTGGGTAGTATTTTTATAGATGTTTTCTTCATTTTAGTCTCTACTACAAATTGATCGCAGGGAGTTTTCTACTTTCCTTATGAATCGTTTTGTCAGTTCTCAAGTTAGGGCATAACCCATATGAAATGCTGAAGAAAAGAATCAGATCTTCAGGGCAGAAGTGACAGTTTTCTCTGTTAGATTCTTAGGTTTTTGTTGCAGGCTGCTTTTGCTGCTTTGCACTTAGACTTTCCACTCCTGATGTTGAAGCTGATTTGAATTCTTGACAAAAGAACCTCCATGAACGTTCGAATGTTTTTACCTTCCTCAACAATATCTTCTCCTTACTTGTACCGCCTTTTCCACATAATCCCCACCCAATGTGGAGCTGGGTGTTCAGTATTACAAATTCACATTCCCACTTACTATCTTGGTGACTCCGGCTTATTGACTTAACCTTACCAGGGCCAGAGAGCAGAAATACACACAGGGAACGTTCAACGAGCACACTACCTCTGAAAAAACTGCAAGTTTAGAATCACACGGTCCCCAGAACATATGATGCGACTCTGGTCAAGCAAACGGTGGCATGTCCCAAAAGTCATGGACCTCAATGTCTCTCGATTTCATAGAACCCCTCCCCCCAAATTCCACGGCTTAAGTAAGTCTCTTACACGCGGCCATTAATGCCACATATTCCTGACTGCCGGCAACTAAAGCTCAGGATAGTCAGTCTCGTCCCGCCGCTGGCCTGGGTCGTTCCCCACCTTCGCCTGGCTGCTGTCCCCAGACGGAACTAAACCAACAGAGCGACACTTTCTTCACGGACCCGGCAACACAGTCCCAGGACCGCTAAGAACCAGCTACCCGTTAGGCGGAAGCGACTCTCTGCTGACTGGGACCGCGAAGGCCTTTGGGAAATGTAGTCCAGGGTCGAACTCTACCTGTACAGCTTTTTTCCCATAGACCAAGGTGCCCGCGCAGGTTCCGGGTGCCGGCCTTAAGGGCGCACTCCCTCAAGACCCTCACAAGGGTGCCAGCAGTTCAGGGCGCATTTAAACGCCGAGGTTGGCAATCCGCGCACAGGAAGCCCCCCGCCCCACTCCGGGGAGCCGCGGGGGCCTCTGGGAAGTGTTGTCCCACGTCTAACGGTCCAAGGCTGGTGCTGCTGTTGGCCGGGGCCGGCGCCGACCCGAGCGGCGCGGCTCCGGCGATCGGCGGCGGCTGTGCGCTCGCGGCGGCGCGGGGCGTGGAGCCGGGTCTGTGCCGCGGGGTCTGTGGTGAGTCCTCGCGGAGCCGCGCACTCCGAGCCGGACTCTTTGTGCTGGGCGGCGTAGGGCCTGCAGAGCCGCGCCTGGGTGTCGGGAGGCGGATGCGGCGCCCGACGCCCTGCGGCCGTGGGAGCGGCGGGTGGAGGACAGCAAGCGAGTCGCGGGGCGCGATCGAGCTCGGTCTGTGACAGTGTGGCTGTGAGATCGCGTGTGTGAGCGGATTTTGTGGTTGTGCTTTCCCTTTTATGAACGTGGGTGCGAACGTGCTTGCCTGTGGAACCCGCGCGTGAAGGAACAACTCCGAGGATGGAAGGGGAGATATCGTGTGCGAAGATTTGTGAGACTAACGTGGCTTCCTTTCGTTGGTTATGGTGGCAGAAAATGCCCTTATGTGAGAGCTCAACAACATTGTATTTTAATATTAATTTTCCCCCTTCGTATCAGCCACGTTGTGTTCTGTGAATGCCAGCCTTACACTCCTGGCCCCTGGCTCATAGCTCCCAACTGCAGCATACAGAAAAGCTCAAAGAAAACTATGGCTTCTAATTCTCCCAGTCATTGTCAAAATGGGCTTCATGTGTTTTTGTATCCATCCCCCTGAGAACATACACATGCATGTTTGCTTTCATGTATGTGCATAATGGCATCAAACTTGCAGTCATTCTGTACATACAGTTCTGTAACCTGCCTGTGTCCTTTTTTTTTTTTTTAAGATTTATTTATTTATGCATACAGAACTGGGGTACAGGCCAGACGTGTGGGGGTGAGAGGTTTCACCAAAGACAGAGTGGGGAGCAGAACAGGCCGACTGAAGTACACTGCAGAGGGGAGCAGCAGGCAGGTCAGGAGAGGTCTACCACGCACCATGTGGGTCACTTCTGGGCCTGGGATTGAACTCACACTGAAGCAGCTGCGGCCAGCTTGCAGTGCAGCATCCTAACCTGTTGCGCCACCAGGAAGGACCTGCCTGTATCTTTTAGAGTATCTTTCCACTAAAACAAATCTATACTACCACTTTCAAGTTTTTCACCGTATACATTTTAAAGCATTTATCCCTACTGATGGGAAAGCTCTTTCCAACTTCCTGTACTGTGTTTATCTTCAAGTACTTGGCACTTGGTTGTTTTGATAGGTGGCAGACACCTACAGGTGGAGCTGATGTGTCCGAATGTATGTATCCCAGTTATTCTCCTATCAGGTTCTAGCAGTCTGCAGTGTTACTGGCAAAGATTAATAACAATAGGTCGAATTAATATTAGTAATCTTTGTTAACCATATAGTTGTAAAATAATCTGTAATTTGCTAATGTTTGATTAGTCAAACATTTTAAAACTTTTTGTAAATTTTCTTAAGTAGTTCTCTAAAGTAGTGATCTGTTTCCAAATTTCATTTTCAGCATTCTATATTAAGTATTTACTTATTTATGTATTCACCATTTACTGAATGCCATCCATGTCACAGGAATGATTCTAGATGTTTTGGATACAGCATTGAAGAAAAGAAACTTCTTGCTATCATGGTACTTACATTGTTGTGGGCCAGATAATAAATGAGGTATGTACCATCTGCAGTTTTTCCCTATAAATCATTAAAGTTTGATTAGGAATAATGTTTGACTTAGTAATCAGGAAATGGGAAGCACAGGGAGACATCTTTAAATTCTGCTTACTACTAATAACACCAAAGTGCTTCTGAGGATGAGTGTGACTATTTGTCATACATTCCGGGTCAGAATACAAAATGTTACTGTCAACTTGGAAAATAGTTTGTTGGTTTCTTTTAAAGTTAAATATACTTTAACCAAGTGATCCAGCAATCCCAACTCTCAGTAGTTGCCCAAGTACATTGAAGATTGTGTTCTCACACAATTCTTTGTGAATATTTACAGCAGCTTTATTTTTTCTTTAATATTTATTTATTTATATATACAGAACTGGGGTACAGGCCAGAGGTGCAGGGGTGGTGAGCAGAGTCACCAGAGACAGTGGGAGCAGAAAAGGCTGATTGATGAAGTACACTGCTGAGGGGAGCAGTGGGCGGGTCAGGAGAGGTCTGCTGCACCATGTTGCACCATGTGGATTGCCTCCCCTCCGGGGCAGGAGGGGGATCTAACTCATGCTGAAGTGGCTTTAGCTTCTCAGTGCTGTGCTTTAACCCGCTGCACCACCAGGGAGCGCCTGGATGTCCTTGTTTTTGACTGTTTTGGGTTGCTGAACAAAAGCACCTGAGTTTGACACAGGTCCAGCATTGTCCCTTTTAGTATCATATTCTTTCTAGGTTTGAGGTACAGAAGAAGCAACACCAGACCGCTTCTGAGCCCTGTATTTTTTCACCAGTGCAGGTGCTGGGAGCCATTCAGATACCATTTATTCTGCTGTCCTAGTCAAGGCTAATTATAATGATTGTAACAAAATGGAGTTCCCAGGGTCACAGTGCTTAGTAGTTGCAGAGAGAACACAAAAGTAAGTCCCTGTGCTCCCAGGTTGCTGTTCTTTCTGATCTGGCCTAAAGTTTTGATCCTTTAGGAAAAAACTTCAAATGAGGCCTTCCTGGTGGCACAGGGGTAAAGACACAGCACTATCAAGCTACCTCCAGCCACTGTGACATGAGTTCGATCCCTGGCCAGGGAGGTGACCCCCCATGGCGCAGCAGACCTCTCCTTTCTTGCCTGCTGCTTACCTCAGCAGTGTACTTTCATCCATCTGCCTGTTCTGCACTCTGCTCTGTCTCTGGTGAATCCTCTCACCCCCTGAACCTTTGGCCTGTACCCCAATTCTTATATGCATAAATAATAATAAAATCTTTAAAAAAAAAGAAAAGAAAGAAAGAAAATAGTTCTTTCTAGGAAAAGAAATCAGTGACAGTGATAGGGAGCAAAGAAACAGTATAATAGTTGTTATTACTATAAATCGAGTAGCACTATATTATTTAAAATATTTAAAAAATGTATTTATGTATAGAAGAACTGAGGTGTAGGCCAGAGGTGTAGGGTGAAAGGATTCATCAGAGGCAGAGTGGGGAGCAGAACAGGAAGATCTACTGGAATATACTGCTGAGGGGAGCGGCAGGAGACACTCCCCTCTGCTGCACTGTGTGGGTCAGCTCCCTGGCTGGGGATGGAACTTGTAGTGGCTGGCAGTAGCTTGATAGCACTGTCTTTAACTCCTGTGCTTGTATGTTTTAATCTTCCTTGTGGATACAAGTGATATCACAAAGGAAACCTGATCTAATGAGTTTTTATTCTTTTCTCCAGCTCCCCCTTTGCAGGCCCTGTGAAATCCCAGAAAGAAGAGGAAATGACTGATATCCAGGTAAATATCAAATAATCTGTTTGCTCCCTGCCTTATTCTTGTGTGCAGTTTAGGGGGGTTGTAGGAGTCCACACAGTGAACTGAAAAATCCCCATATACATAAAGTGTATGTGCAGAGAAAATAAGAATTGGAAGATTAAGACCAGAGTTAAAATATGGTTATACAGAAATGTATTCATTCAGAAATTTCAATTGGACTTCAAATCTGAATTTCACTATTATGGGTAAAGCAAATCAGTATAGAAATTCGTTACATAATTTGCAATAATTAGTACAGTATAGTAATTAGCAGAAATGAGCTTTGATTGGCACCTAGGTCAAGAATTCTTATAGTAGACTCTTATAATTGATAAACACAGCTGTTTGATAGTCTTTTTTGATCAAGGACAAAATGAATATATGTCAAAATAGTCCTGTACTGGAAAAAACACAAATTAAGACAGAAAAAGGGGTAAATTATATATAGTATTTCATGGCGTGAAAGACTATACCAAAGTATAAAAACAGATTACTGCTACTCAGAGCAATACAGATGAATCTCATAAATAATGTGGAGAGAAACCAGAAACAAGAACATGATGGCTCCATTCCTATGAAGTTAGAAAACTGGCAAAACTAATCTCTTGTGACAGAAATCTCAATAATGATTACCTCTGCGGGGAGTACTGAAGGGGTCTTCTGGAATGCTAAAAATGTTTTATAGTTGACCTGAGGGATTAGGACACAAATATATAAATATATAAATGTATAAATATATAAATATATAAATGTATAAATATATTTGGTTGTACTTAAAATTAGTAATATACTACCTTCTATTCATGTCATACCTCTTTTTAGAAAACTAGAATATCTAAAGTACTAGATGGAGTGTGTATGTCTGTCAAATGACCTATAGCATATTTTTCAATGCACCTTTTTTATAGCTTGGATCACAACCGAATTAGTCATTTCTAGAAAATTCTGGTAATTTTGATCCCCTAGAATCTGAACAGAGATGTTTTATTTGGTTTGCTGTTTTATATCCAGTCTGTAGATCAATGCCTAGTATTTATGGTTTTTATGAGTGAATACTTGTGGCCTTAATTATTTGAACCCACAATGATTTATTCTTTTACAGTAAGTGATGTCTACCTCCCCTGCAAGGATATTTTCTTTTCCTCAGAACTTCATCCCCTCCCTTTTTTTTTAAGACTTACTTATTTATTTATGCAGGCCAGAGGTGCAAGGGATGAGAGGATTCACCAGAGTGGGGAGCAGAACAGGCAGATCTACTGATATACATTGCTGAGGGGAACAGTAGGAAGTCAGGAGAGGTCTGCTCTGCCATGTGGGTCAGCTCCCTGGCCAGGGATTGAACTTGTGCTGCAGTGGCTGTGGACAGCTTCATAGTACTGTGCTTTAATCTGCTATGACACCAGGAAGGGCCCCAACTCTCTTTTTCACACTTTCTTTAGAATCATTCTTAGACTTGCCCTGCAGTTTTGAACATATCTCACCTTACTGCATTTTTACCCTTACCTCACAGCTTTGTTCTGCTAAGATACAGCTTTCTTTGATCATATAAAGATAGTATTTATCTTTAGCTGGGGTATTACTTCTTTATTTCTCCAGTTTTTCCTTCAAACTCATGGAATTGTCAATGTGAGCACACCTTTGTGTCAGCATAAGAAACAGATCAAAAATAGAGTGACCCTAACACCCACTAGACTCCTTCTGCACCCTTCCCAGTCATTACCGCCACCCCAGGGGTGCCTGCTGTGGATCATGGATAACATTTGCTTGTCTTTTAACCTATATAATATGTGAACTTTAAAAATAATAAAAAATTTTAAAAAGTGCTTTAAATTTCTAAATGGAAGTCATACTGCTTTCTAGAAAATTTTCAGCAGCATCTCATCTCTAAAACATGTGATAAATCATTCTTAATATTGTTTTCCCATAGTTCCGGCTACAGGCATGTACAAAACTTTATTACTGTTTTTTCCTAGTTAGTATTTATAGAATTCTGTCTGTGGCGCTCTTTTTTTCCAGTGTACATGAGCTCTTTAAGCAATTATATCCTATTTTCTTGGCTGCACACACCTGTTATTTGCATGTAAACAATAAGTCCTCCTTTTGATTTTAGATTTCTCCTTAATATATACCACTACTAAGTCAGTGGATGTCCTACTGTATTTCAGTTTTTGCCTATCATTCTTTTTTTGCTTCTGATCCATCCAGATTGTTTTTATTTTGTCCTTCATCAGCGATTCATAGTGAATCTAGCCCATTCCCAAACCACTGAACATGGTGTGAAGTTTTACATTCCCCTATTTAAAAAAAAATTTTTTTTTTAATTTATTTTTGCATACAAGAGCTGGGGTATAGGTCAGAGGTGGGATGTATGTGTGTATGTGTGAGAGGGAGGATTCACGAGAGACAGAGTGGGGAGCAGAACAGGCAGATCTACTGAAATCCACTGCTGAGGGGAACAGCGGGGAGACAGGAGAGGCCTGTGGTGCCATGTAGGTGCCATGTAGCTCCCTGGCTGGGGATTGAACTCAGGCTGTAGTAGCAATAGCTTGATAGCACTAAGACCTAACCCCTAGGCCACCAGGGAAACCCCCACTCCCCCTATTTTTTTATATTCAGTATAAATTGGTGCCCATGATAATTTGAGCCCATATTAGTTTACTTAAGCTAAGTCCTTGCTGAATTAGTAAATGGACATACAAAAATTTAATATCCTCTCACCCTTGCACACTGTAAGAACATGGTTCAGTATATTTTGTCCACATTGCAAAGATGTTTGACTTCAGATTGAACAGGAGTGCGTTGTTACAGGAAATGGTGACATTCAAAGATGTGGCTATTGACTTCACCCAGGAAGAGTGGCAGCAACTGGATCCTGCTCAAAGGAACCTGTATCGAAATGTGATGCTAGAGAACTATAACAACTTAATTACAGTGGGTAAGCGTGGTTTCCTGTGACTCGAATCCCAGGAATAGAGTGCTTTCTTCCCCACCCCATTGTTTCTGAAATGTGCCGAACCTTTTAAGTGTTTGAGGTTGGTTGTTCAATGCTGTGTTCACATATTTGCGGATGCTGCAGCTTTGAAAGGAAGTCATTCTTGGTGATGTTTTGTGGTTAGTATCCCCAGAAACTACACTTTTCTTATCCTCCAGAAAACCTGCTTTTTACTGGGTAAGCATCAATTTTGAATGATTCTTGGTTCCTAGCACTTTTGCACAAAACTTTGCCATTTCCCTTTAACAGGGTATCCATTCACCAAGCCTGATGTGATTTTCAAGTTGGAGCAAGAAGAAGAACCATGGGTGTCTGAGGAAAAAGTGTTAAGGAGACACTGTCCAGGTTAGTAGGAGAAAACCAGACAGGTGAGGAAGAAAGAGGACCCTTGAGTGGTTAACCTGTAGATAGTTGGTCCCTCTGAAATGTTCTTCAAGGGTGTTTTCCTAAAAACCATAGATTTTTCTCATGGTAATTGACATGAATGCTTTATAAACCTAAGAAGTCATTTTTAAGGTAACGTCTTTCCTCACAACTTTCCACAAAACGTAAAGGGCCAGCTGGCTCTCTGACCTGAGTGCCCAATACTAACACTTCCCAATTCATCTCCAGCTTTCCTTTGCTAATCAATCCACTTATTAGCATTTTCAGTTTTTCTGTATCTCTTTTTATACAGGATTCTTACCTTTTCATTCAGATACTTACAGAATTATAGTTGTTCAAATAAACCTCTAGACATCTGTATTTCTTTATTTTCTACATCTCTTCTTCCGTCATAAATGTCTCAGCATTGTGTTCCATAACATCATACTTCGCACGGGATTTTTAGCTGGCGCTGTCCAGCTTAAGTAATGATGACAACTCTTATTTCAATAAAAGTTTTTTAAGTCAATGCTACTTTTCTTTTCGTTTCCAACTTTCTACTGTTTTGCCATGTATGCTTGCATGCATTTGTGTATGTACAGTCATAACACACATACATGTTCATCTGTAATGCACACACACTTATATACACGTGTTTCCAATGTGATACCTATTTCCATGTCTTTTTTGCCCTTCAAGAAGAGAACCATTTATATTTGGAATTTTTCCCACCAAGCATAGTATTAGTGTTCAAGTTGTACTGTACTCTTTCAAGTTAAATAAGTTTCTGCATGTTCCTATTTTATAAGAATCTTTTACAGATGTTTAATTTTATCATTTGTTTAATATCTGTTTGACTTTTTCACATATTTCCCAATAGTAATAGATTTTTTAAATATAGAAGCATACTTATTTCCTTGGGGGAAAAAGTCTATTCAGGTATGATACATCTTATATTGAATATGCTCCTGGCTAATTCCCTTTCCTTAAGTCATTTTGCTATTCTATAGAGAGTTTTTACATTGGTATTTGTAAGTGCTACATGGTTTGTCTTTTTTTGGTTATCACCTTTTTCAGGTTTTGGTATTAGCATTATGCTTCCACACAAAAACTGGGACTTCCTTCCCCCTTTATTACTTTTGATATAAAATGGGAGCTATCCCTTAAATGTTAATTAAAATTCCCATGTATTTTTTTCTGGACATTTCTATTGTGTTTTTAGAGGTTTGCTTTTCATATTTTTCTGTTTAGTTTGTGGAAATTGGCTTAAGTAGATTTTCTGCATCATCTACTATGACTTTTGGCAATACACATTTTCTAGAAAATTATTCATGTCAAATGGTTTACAAAAAATATTTCAGCAGAATCCTGGAAATTTTTTAAACTTCTACTTCTGTCATTTCTTTTTTATTTGTATATTCTATATCCCCCCTTTTATTTGCTCAATTCTGTTTTTTTTTCTAGATACCATTTAAAAACAATCAAAGCTATTTGATTAATAAATCTACCTCTACTCATATTCGTTTCCCTAGAATTTTCTTCTCAAATAGCTTAGGAAATAGGAGATACATCTGCAATTGGCTTAATAATGTCAAAAACCAAACCCATAAGAGTATACTTGAAGTTCTTTTATAATACAATATTGGAAGATTTTACAAATGATATTTATTTGCAATCTGTTTTAGAAATATGGGTTACTGATGAGCATGAAAAAGTCCAGGACAGACTTTTGATGCAGCTTGAAGATAAATTCACAAAAACATGGACTGAAGAAAAAGTCAATGAGTGTCATAAGAAATTTACAAATGTATTTTCTTCAAACTCAGACATTTTCCCTTCCAGTCACAATATGTATGAATATGACTTATTTGGACAATGTTTAGGGCATAATTTTGATTATCATAATAATGAAAGACTTCTTATAAGAAAGGAAAATTGTGGCTACAATGAACCTGTGAAATCATTTGGCAGTAGTTCATCCCATCTTGTAGTAACTCCCTTTAGGTGTAATCATTGTGGGAAAGGATTCAGTCAAACATTGGACCTCATAAGACACCTAAGAATTCATACTGGAGAGAAACCTTATGAATGTAAAAAGTGTAGGAAAGCCTTTAGCCATAAGGAGAAACTTATTAAACATAATAACATTCACAATAGGGAGCAATCTTATGAATGTAATGAGTGTGGAAAAACTTTTATTAAAATGTCAAATCTCATTAGACATCAAAGAATCCATACTGGAGAGAAACCCTATGCATGTAAAGAATGTGGGAAATCCTTCAGTCAGAAATCTAATCTCATTGATCATGAAAAAATTCATACTGGAGAAAAACCTTATGAATGTAATGAATGTGGGAAAGCATTCAGTCAGAAACAAAGTCTCATTGCACATCAGAAAGTTCACACTGGGGAGAAGCCTTATGCATGTAATGAATGTGGTAAAGCCTTCCCTCGAATTGCATCCCTTGCTCTTCATATGAGAAGTCATACGGGAGAAAAACCTTATAAATGTGATAAATGTGGAAAAGCCTTCTCTCAGTTTTCCATGCTTATTATACATGTGAGAATTCATACAGGTGAGAAACCCTATGAATGTAATGAATGTGGAAAATCTTTCTCTCAAAGCTCAGCCCTAACTGTACATATGAGAAGTCACACTGGTGAGAAACCTTATGAATGTAAGGAATGTAGGAAAGCCTTCAGCCACAAAAAAAACTTTATTACACATCAGAAGATTCATACTAGAGAAAAACCTTATGAATGTAATGAATGTGGAAAAGCTTTCATTCAGATGTCAAATCTCGTTCGACACCAGAGAATCCATACTGGAGAAAAACCTTATATATGTAAGGAATGTGGCAAAGCCTTTAGCCAGAAATCAAATCTCATTGCTCATGAAAAAATTCACTCTGGGGAGAAACCCTATGAATGTAATGAATGTGGTAAAGCCTTCAGCCAAAAGCAAAACTTTATTACACACCAGAAAGTTCACACTGGAGAGAAACCTTACGATTGTAATGAATGTGGTAAAGCCTTCTCTCAAATTGCATCCCTTACTCTTCATTTGAGAAGTCACACAGGAGAAAAGCCTTATGAATGTGATAAGTGTGGAAAAGCCTTCTCTCAGTGCTCACTGCTTAATTTACATATGAGAAGTCATACAGGTGAGAAGCCCTATGTATGTAATGAATGTGGGAAAGCCTTCTCTCAAAGAACTTCCCTTATTGTGCATATGAGAGGTCACACAGGTGAGAAGCCCTATGAATGTAATAAATGTGGGAAAGCCTTCTCCCAGAGCTCCTCACTAACTATACATATACGTGGTCACACAGGTGAGAAACCCTTTGACTGCAGTAAATGTGGAAAAGCCTTCTCTCAAATCTCATCTCTTACACTTCACATGAGAAAACATACAGGTGAGAAGCCTTATCACTGTATTGAGTGTGGCAAAGCATTCAGCCAAAAGTCACACCTTGTTAGACACCAGAGAATCCATACTCATTAGATGTAACTACAGTGAATATGGAAAAGCCTTCAGAAGGAAGCTGCACATCACTGCACAATGTATCATCAGTTCTAAAGCAGAAAACAATGTAGTAAAAGTACTTTGAAGAAGCCACATCTATAAAATATGGGGATTCTTATCAAGGTGACAAATTGTATGATGAGAAGCTGATCAAAAAGGTTTAGCAAGACATCTTACCTGTTAATATTTAGTCAGTGGTCTCATTAAAATATGGTCTCTGCTATCAGCATATCACCATGATCCTGGGCTCCTACCAATACTATAAGCAAGAAATACTGCAAAGAAAAGAGAAACTTCAGCCTTTTATAAAAAAAATCATTAAAAATGTATTGATATATCTAAGGATAAGCACAACAATGAATTACAAGACAAGTATATAGAGATATAAGAACATACTGAACATATTGATGAGCACAAAACACCTGAAAATTTGAGGAAAAAATATATTGAAGACTTGACATTGTAAAAATACGTAAATTCTCTCCCAAATATCTAAAAGTACTTCCAATTCAGAGTTTTCAGCAGTTACATTTTTAGGAATTTCACAAACTGATTTAAACTTTTAGTGGAATGTAAAGGACCACAGGTAGCTGTGTCAAATGTGATAAGAGAAATATTGAAGACATGGTCTTCTAAATGTAATTATAGACTTTAAAGCTGGTATCACTTAAGCAATGTGTTCTTACCAAAATAATTGCGTGGAAACAAATTGAGGACTGATACAAAAATCCAAAGAGATGTGGGAATTTCTCTATGTGTATGACAGTGCTGTTGAAATCATTGGAGAAATTATAGCCTATGCAATAAATGGAAGGTTCATATGAACAAGGTTCTCTATCATTTCAAAAAATAAAATCCAAATAGATTGAAGGTCAGAATGTAAAAATTCTGAAACTATAATGAAAATAAAAAATATGCCATTAGAAAAACAGGATTTCTTTTAGAACACATAAACATGGTACTATCAATTCTATTTTGGTGTTTTGGCCTCAGAGGTGCCCAGCATATAGACAGAGAAAGATCTGTATCTCATTTTGTTCACTGAATCATGGTGTGTATTAACTCAAAATTGGACATAACAAATTTCCATCAGTAGAGGGTAAAGCAACACAATTTGATTATTTCTATGCAATTCATTGTTTAGCAGGACAATACAAATTTGTTCCACATAAAGCTACATGGGTAGATCACATTGTATGATATTAAGAGAATAAAGCAAAATGCACATGAAACTACATTTTTTATAAATAATAGTGCAAAAAAACTGCACTTTTAATCATGAATTCACGTTATGACATTGGTTGCCTTTTAGGAAGTGGGAGGGTTTTGGAGAGGGAATTGTTATACTTGTAATATTTCCTTAATAAAAAAATGAAAGCCAATAAGACAGTGGTGACGAATTTGGTTGTCAAAAGAATTTTTTTATTATTGTTTACCTTTAGTTTCCAGTTTCTCTGAAATATGAACCATGAGTGATTTTATTTAATCTTCCTTTTTGCAGTTAGTCACCATCTTTAAATGCTACTTTCTAGATGGGAATGGAATGTCATTGGCGCCTAGGTAACATGGGAGAAGGTGAAGTGTTGAGGTTGAGAAGTTCAACCTCAAATTACCTAGTTCCACCTTGCTGCTGCTGGTTGGGTATGGAAGTTCATCCTGGCCCAAACTCCTCATCATGGGGTGGACTGGGGCTGGTTCCCCCAGAAGTGCTTTTGCACCAAGACAGAGCTTCGAGGCACTAAGTCAGAGGTGGAAAGAAACCAGCTCTATAAGGGGGAAGGAAGGGCTTTCTGTGCTCAGCACCCATCAGCAGCCCCAAGGAGGCGCTCTAGTGACTCTCATCCAAGGGACCAAAGAATCACAGCAGTCCACTGTTCACATTAATTTTGGCAGCTCTTTGCATATAACCACACTGAGAGGCTGGAAAATAAGCCTTGGGATAATCAGGGTTTTTGCTGTTGTCTCACACCAGGCAAAGCAGGCCTAAAGAAACCGTAATGAAAATGTATAGTCTCTTGAAGAGGCCGAACTGTCTCCCAGCTAGTAAGGGATCCCTTAAGGAAGGACAACCCATGATTCCTTCAAGAGAAGCAACATCACTGGCCAACAAGCACGTGAAAAAACCCTTAGCATTACTAGTCCTTGGGAAAATGTAAATCAAAATTACATGAGATACCACAGCTGGGGATGGCTATAATCTTAAAAAGGTAAGTGTTAATGAGGATGTGGAGAAAACTTGTATATTGCCTGTGGTAGTGGGAAATGTTTCAGTTTGGCAGTTCTTTAAAAAGCTTGCATAGAATTACCATATAATGCAACACTTATATTCCTGCATGTATATATACCCCCAGAGAGTTGAAGCCAAGGGCATGTTACACACGAATTCTTAGCACTAGTCACAGAAGCCAAGGTTTCTGTACTCTCCAGATGGCCATCAACAGATAACAGATAAACTGTGATATGTGCACACAAGCTGAAATATTATCCAATGACAAGACAGAATGAAGGACAAATAATGTTTATATGACATGATGGACCTTCAAACATGCTCAAGATGCCAGATTTAAAAAAAAAAAAAAGATCACCTATTGTATGATTGATTTTATATTAAATATCCAAAAGAGATGAAGCCTTAGTAGTGATGGAACACAAATTAGTGGTTGCTAGGCATGGAGGGGAGGGAAGAAATGGAGAGAAAACAACAGGTAAGGGATTCTACTCAGTTTAAACAGCAGAGATTTCCAGACTGAATTTTTAAAACAATATCCAATTTTATGCTGCTTACAAGAAACTGATTTTAAATAGAAAGATTTTACTAACAATTAAAAGAATGTTAAAGTACATGTATTAATATCAGGCAAAATAGACTTCTGAGCAAAAAATATATTCATAGGACCTCCCTGATTTCAGTACTATTACCTCAGTAGCCTGAGTTTATCCCAGGCCAGGGAGGTCACACACAGAGCACAGCAGACCTCTCCTGTTTCACCCACTGCTCCCCTCAGGAGGGTATTTCAGGAGATCTGCCTATTTTGCTCCCCGCTCTTTCCTGGTGAATCCTCTCACTGCCCCTGCACCTCTGGTTCTGTATGCATAAATAAATCTTTAAAAAAAAGAATGTGGGGAGTGGGACCTCCCTGGTATCAGAGAGGTGAAGTCTCAGCTTTGAAGCTAACTGTAGTCACTGCAGCATAAGATCCAACCTCAGCCAGGGAGCTGACCCACATGGTGCAGCAAACCTCTCCTGACCCACCCGCTGGTCCCCTCATGGATCTGCCTGTTCTGCTCCCCACTCTGTCTCTGGTGAATCCTCTCATGACCCTGCACCTCTGGCCTAAACCCCAGTGCTTATATACATACATAAATAAATAAATCTTTTTAAAAAATAACATTTAAGCCAAATAAAAAAATGAGTTTTTTAGATAAAGAACATCTAAAATTATAAAACATGTACATTGAAAACACTAAATGCCCAAATTGCAGAACACAATTTATGTCACATAGGGAAATATATGGCTTAAAGTATACTTAAGAAAACCAAAAACGTAAATTTTCAGTATAAGAGGTGCAAAACACCAAACTTAACCAAAAATAACTATAAACACAAGAGACAGAAATCTGTAGGGAATTGGGAGAAATAAGAGAAAATAAAATAAAACCTAGGGAGTGGCTTTTATACCGTTTCTATAAAATGTCAAGGGGCCCTCCCTGGTGGTGCAGCGGGTTAAGGCACAGCACAGCACTCTGAAGTTACTGCAGTGTTCGATCCCTGACAAGGGAGGTGACCCACATGGCACAGCAGACCTCCCCTGTCTCCTCACTGCTCCCCTCAGCAGTGGATTTCAATCTGCCTGTTCTGCTCCCCACTTTGTCTCTGGTGAATCCTCTCACTGCCCCTGCACCTCTGGCTTGTATCCCAGTTCTGTAAGCATAGATAAATAAATCTTTTTTTTGAAAAAGGTCAATCAAGGTGCAAATGAGGTAATGAGTACGAAACAAAATGAAACTGGAAGAATAATAAAAGAATCTTATGAATGACTATTTGTGAACAAATTTGAGGATGTGTAGAAAATACCAAAATTGTAAAAAACAAAATTTGAATAAACATGATATATTTAAATGGTATGGAATAATTCACTGAAAAGAAGAAAACATCCACAGCCCAGATAGATTTATAAGTTTCGTTTTTTAAAAAAGATTTGTTTATTTATGCATGTAGAACTGGGGTACAGGCCAGTGAGAGGGTGGTGAGAGGCTTCACCTGAGACAGAGTGGGGAGCAGAACAGGCAGACTGATGAAGTACAATGCTGGGGGGATCAGGAGAGGTCTGCTGCGCCCTGTGGGTCAGCTGCAGTCTCTCCCTCATAGTGCTGAGCCTTTACCCTTGTGCCATCAGGGCGGCCCTATACTTCTTATTTTGTCATTAGAAGTTAGTTTTATGAAAGGAGACATCTGTTTGTTCAGTTCTGTACTGTTATCCCATTGCCAAGAACTGGCTTACAGTAGGTACTCGGTATAAACATTGTAATCAACACACATACCCACACCCCTGCATAATCAATAGTAAATAAACTCTTACATATGACAAGTGAAAACTGCATGAACTGTAACACAGTAGAGAGACATGTTCATCACTAATGGTCATACAAAATAACCAGGTAAGAGGTTCATCACCATTGGTCATACCCAGCAGCCAGTGCAAAGTGCTTCACCATTACATGAATTAATCCAGGTCCTAAAAAGAACTGCGCAGACTCGACCAAACCCTCCTCTCTCAGCAGATATCTCCAGATGCCCAAGTTTTTAATAGTACTAAATGATCGAGTCAATATATCATAGGACAATGGGCTGTTCAGTTACACACAAAATTTTCTATCTCTTGGCGCCTCTCTGGCAGCCTAGGAGTTAAGTCTCAGTGCTATCATGCTCTGGCCTGAGTTTGATCCCCAGCCAGGCCCACAGGGCACAGCAGACCTCTCCTGTCTCACTGCAGCTCCCCTCAGCAGTGTGTTTCGGTAGATCTGCCTGTTCTGTTCCCCACTCTGTCTCTGGTGGATTCTCTCACACCCCCACCCCACACACACACCTCTGGCCTGTACCCTAGTTCCTGTATGCATAGATTAATAAATCTTAAAAAAAAAAAGAGCCACTAATTCAACAAAGAGGTCAATTGCTCTCTCCATAATTCTCTTAGTTTGCCTTCTTCTTTAAAGCTCTATAGATGGGTCACTGCCACAAATTATTTTTTAATTTCTTCTCAGAAAGCCTGGTAGTGAGTTTCACCATGTGAATTTTTTAAATTCCACCCTTATTGTGAACAGACTAAAAAAATTCAAATTAATTTTTATCAACAAATAAAACAATCAGCTTTATGGAGGCTGTCCACTGAACTTCTATGTACTTGTCTTAAGTGTTGTTGGGATAAATATTGATACCATAGTGGCAATCCATGGCATATGAGTTAGGATTAAGTTCAACAGGCAAAAACCCAATTCAAATTAACTTAGGCCAAAAAAAAAACCAAAAACTTATTTGATCACAAAAGGATGGTAGAGACATCAGATGTGAGTAAACTGAGGAGATGAGGAGATCCAGAAATGTCACTGGCTCCCTGCCAGTGTCTTCTGTGTTGGATCCTGGGGAGGCTTTCCCAATGCAGTAGCAAAAAGGGAGGGGGCAAGCAGGTTCTCCCTGGTGGCCCTAGGGAGGAGCCACCACTGTACAGCACTGTGAAGTTATCTGCAGCCATTGCAGCATGAGTTCAATCCCCACCAGGAAGCTGACCCACATGGTACAGCAGATCTCTCCTGTATTGCACACTGCTCAATTCAGCAGTGTTGTTTCAGTAGATCCAGCTGTTCTACTTCTCATTCTGTCTCTGGCGAATCCCCTTACCCCCTTCACTTCTGGCCTGTACCCCAGTTCTTGTATGCATAATTTTTTTTTAAAAAAGGGGGGGCTATTGGTGAATTTTTAGCCACACTAAATCATTGATACTTCTAATTCCAGAGAAAACAAAATTAGCTATTCTTGCCCATAACACACACCCCCATCCCCACCAAAGAGCTCTAGAGGACCAGAAAGGCTCATCTACTGATCCCGTATCATCACTGGGTTGTGGGAACTTAACCAGAGCATGACCATCCTACTGCTTGCTAATAGTTTCATCCAAATCATATGCACTGAGGGTGAGCTAAGTCTCAAACAGAGTATCTAACAGTTCAAAAAGTAAATGTCTGTCTTTCAGGCAATTTTAAATAAGGATACTTATGAGCTGAAGGCTTCTCCATAGGTATTACTTTCCTAAAATTACAAACCAAAGAATTGATATTTAGTTAATAAGGACAGAATGGTGACCAATTCTTTCTTATACTTGTTATAATGAGAGAGTGTCTCTGTTATGAACTTTCTGATGTCGCTTGAGGGCTGTGACACAGCTGAAACTATCCCCACAATCACTGCAGTTAGAGGGTTTTTCTCCAGCGTGAATGCGCTGGTGTAGCCTCAGTGACAAGATCTGATGGAAGGCCTTCCCACACTCCTTACATTCATAGGGTTTCTCTCCAGTGTGAATTCTCTGATGTTGAGTGAGATAGGAGCCACAACTGAAGGCTTTGCCACATTTGTTACATCCATAGGGTTTCTCTCCCGCATGGCTCCTCTTATGATGAATGAGCAGTAAAGTGTCACTGAAGGCTTTCCCACACTTGCTGCATTCGAAAGGTCTCTCTCCACTGTGAATTCTATGATGTCGATTAAGTTGTGAGTCCGTCCTAAAGAACTTCCCACATTTGATACACTCATAGGGTTTTTCCCCAGTATGGATTCTCTGATGTTGATTAAGGTGTGAACGATAGCCAAAGGTCTTCCCACATTCGTCACATTTAAAGGGTTTCTCTCCTGTGTGAATCCGCTGATGCAAAGTGAGGGCGATGCGCCTGCTGAAGGCTTTGCCACACTGACTACATTCATAAGGTTTCTCTCCAGTGTGAATTCTCTGGTGCTGACTGAGGTGTGCGCTCTGTCTGAAGGCCTTGTTACACTCCTTACATTCATATGGTTTCTCCCCGGTGTGAATTCTCTGGTGTTCAACAAGGAAGGCAAAACGGCTGAAGGCCTTCCCACAGTCACTGCACACAAAGGGCTTCTCCCCAGTGTGGATTCTCTGGTGTTGGGCGAGGTGTGCACTCTGCCTGAAGGCTTTGTTGCAGTCCTTGCATTCGTAGGGTTTCTCTCCAATATGCCTTCTCTGATGGTCAGTGAGAAAGAAGCCATGACTGAAGGCTTTGCCACAGTTATTACATGTATGTGGCTTCTCTCTCCTGTGAGTCCTCTGAGGTTGAGTAAAGAATGCATAACAGCTGAAGCCATCACCACAATCCTCATAACTGTGGGCTAATTTTCCAAAATGAGCAGTTTGACACTGGTTAAATAATGAGTGGAAACTTAAAAGACTCGAATAATCATTATTTTCATAAGGTTTCTTCCCAGGAGGGCCTCTGGTATCTTTACTAAGGTATGTGTTCTGACTGAACTTTGCATATTCATTATGTAGCAAAGATTCCTTCTCAGTATGTAATCTTTTATGTTCAATGAAGACTGAATTAGGGGGGAACATTTTATCATAAATATCAAATGTATGGACTTCCTCTACTTCAGGAGCTGTCTGTTGTGTTAAAATTATTGACTTCAAGAAAATGCTTCTCTTAGAATTGCTAAATTCGTTGTCTCTGTTTACAGCAGAGATTTCTCTAAGAGTTGTCATTTGCTTGAAATGCTTCTCCTGATAGCCCTCAAGCTGATCACATCCGTCCTCATATTCCTTGGCTTCTCTGACCCTGGAGCATTCAACGTCACATCTTGTAAGCCTTTCCATTACCACCCCTTGGGGTACTTCTTCATCAATGTACCATTTTGTAGATAATTCTTTGATTTCATACCAAGACTCCCAATCTGAAAAATATCAAGACAGCAAATGTCTCCTTTTGTCCTTTGCAAGGAGAAACAAAGTGATAGAAGCAAAAAGAATTTAATTGCAGACAAAGCTCATGCCAGGACAGTAAGGAACTGAGGACAACTGATTAGATCAGTTTCCCTGTCAAGAGTCTTTAAAATCTGCAAACCAACCTGCGCTGGTATTCCTAAGACTCAGGTTCCATTAGGCAAGTGTTAGTGTTGACTTCTTCCTCTTTATACTATTGCATCCAATGCCAATAGTGGCATCTTCTTGAATAAATAAATGCTGAGAGAATACTCAACAACTTCTAAGATTTATCAATATCAGAGGAAAAAATATTTCTTCTCAGTGTCTAGATGAAATCTGGAGG